ACACATATTTGCTTTTTTTAAAGTGTAGCCTTTTAGCTGCTTCTTTCATTGCCTGCTTCCTCTCGTCTCACATCTCCAAGACTCGGCCCCAGGACCAGCTACATAATCGGTAGGTCCCAGTGCAATATGAAAATGTCGGGACCCTTGTTCAAAAGTTATGAAAAATTTCAAGATGGAGACAGCAGAGCGTTGAACCAAGTCCAGGCCCTTGTAAGCTCAGGGTCCTGTGAATGCTCACGCCCAACACCAGGGCCGCTGGCCCCGCTCTGTCCTTCCCCGGAAACCCACCTTTTAACTTTGCCCATTTAAAAAATCCGGCGTGCGTTCTTTCATACTTTTCTCCATGTTTGCATAATCATACCAGTTTTTAAGAAGGTTTTCTCTTTTTTTTTCGGTTCATTGCTTTTTAAAAAGTTGTGTCATGATCTATTTTCTTCTCTGCATTTTGCTTCCTTACTCGACACAGCCCGGAAAGCCCTCCAGCTTGTGTGTGTCTATTTCGTTCTTCATTCAGGCTGCGTAAGATGCCACACTGCAAATGGACCATAACTTATTCATCAGTTTCCCTTAGGGATGGGAATTCACTCTGCTTCCAATCGTTTGCTGCTATTCGAAAAACTGAAATAAATACTTTTACGGTCGAGCATCTTAGTGCTATAAAGCCAGTTCACAGGAAAGGGTAAAGTTTCCTTTTCAAATAAATTTATTGCAGCCAAAAAGTGAATCGAATTTATAGAAAAGTATGACGCACGGGGTGAGGCAGTGACGATGTCTGGGAAGCAGTGATCCTGCATCGAGCCCTCTGTGAACGGAGGCCTGGGTGGGGGAGGGTGGGAAGTAACTTCTGCGTCCGCCCCTGCAGCACAGAAGTCAAAGAACACCAAAGCCAGGGTCCCTTCTTGCGACAGGGGACAGGAAAATGCCTGTGACACAGAAAACATACCCTCGAGTATATCGAGTCTCGATAAACTGCCTTGGTGACAGTTGCCCTTGGAGCTGGCAGCCCCTGCTCCCTCTTTCAGTTAATCAGCAAACACTGTGTGGGGCACCCTTGGGGACTCAGGGCTGACTCAGCCTTGCACCCACCCTCTAGGGTTTTCTAGTCTAGCAGAAGACCTGTGTGGCTTTTTGCATGACAAAATAGCTTCCCAGACCCAGAGGGATGATACAGAACTGAGGTCGAATGCTCCATGTACACACATGCAGTCACACTCACGCACACACACATACACACACTCGCACACAGTGGTACACACATGGTCATAACCACACACTCACACACCCCACAAACACACACACACACACACACACACACAGGCTGCAGCCAGCATCCCAATCCCCCAACCCCCACACATGGGAATATGACAAACCGCAGTGGAGGACAACTGCTATTGGGAACGAGATTCCGGAATCCTAACTCGAGGGCATCTGGATTCTTGTTCTGAATATTTCATGAGCTGTGGAGTTTGTGCTCTGAATCCTGAGTCATTTCTCCTTCAGGGATCGGCAGCCAAGCAGTGAGTCGGTGAGGACGGGCAATTAAAGGCCTGATTACTTTCTGTCTGAGTGACGGAGTGGCCCAGACGGGTGCTCGTAACAGAGCTGAGTCTGTAGGTGTGTGTGTGTGTGTGTGTGCGTGCGTGCATGCGCACGTGCATGGCCTGAGTCCCTGGATTCTTCTCAGGGGAGGCTGAGAATGTGTAGCAGTCACGCCTGCAACTGAGCAGTCAGGCCAAGCCAGGCTATGGTAACAAGCACACCCCAAACCTCCATGGCTTAACACAATCGAGATTCACTTCTTACTCACATAGAATTTGAGTTGGGGTCAACATTCCCCTCCGTCTTGTGGCTGCATCTGGAACCCAGGCCATGACAGAGAAGAAAGAGATCGGGGAGGCTCACCGCCTCTCACCGACCTTGGCTCCACAGTGGGCTCACGCCATCCTGCATAGACCTCAGTGGCCCCAACCTAAGCTCAAGAGAGACCCAGAAATGTGGAAGGGTTCTTCCGTGAGCACAGTGGTCCCTGCCACTGCTCTCTTGGTGCTTCTGCACACCGGAATGTCCCTGCCCAACATGGAGCCGACTCCTTGGAAAGAGTTCAGATACTGGCTCTGCCACCTGCTAGCTGGTGGCCTCAGGCCACGTGTCAGTCAGGGTCCTCACAGGAAACAGGCAGCACACTCATAATAGAAGTTTGAAGAAGGCTTATTTGCAAAAGCACTATTTACAAAGGATAATATAGTCCCGGGGCTCAGAATAGCTGAGCTGTTACCGCCCTAGGGCCAAAGACACAAGACCAGGGAGTGGCCACTGAGACCGGGAAGGAGAGAGTGACGAAGAGGTGACTACCTCGAGAGGACAATTACATTCAGAGGAAGGACACAACCTTCCCAAAGGACCTCGCCGGGAGGGAGCCAGGGGGATAAACACCATGGCCTCGCTGTCCTCCTCTCTCCTGTCTGCTGAGGCGCCCCATTGGCTGAGCCAGAGGCGCCCCATTGGCTGAGCCAAACAGAAGCCAAAGGACCCAGGAAGACGCTGATTTAGTCCAAACACATCCGTTTTCCCAAGGCCAAGTGGGCAGCGGCTCTGGAAGGACAAATGGGCACTATCTGGCACGAGTAATCGAGGTCTAGCCTTCGGGCCTCCCTTTCCTAATTCGTAAACAGTGCAAATGGCTGCGTCACTATATTGGCGAAGGTAAATGGAATAACGTATGCAAAGACCTGGCATAATCGGCCCTCAGCAAATGTTAGTTTCTCAGTGTCTGAAAGCCCCTTGCCGTCCAATGGGTCCCCTCCTAGGAGGGCCAGTTACCCTAGAGTCTCGAAATTTGCATTCGAGAAATTTGAATTTGAGAAAATTTCTCAAATTTTCCAAGCAAAAATGTGTTTTTCCTAAAAATAACTCTTATTGGCAAGCTTCTCCTGTATGCCAGGTATTTTACAGATATTGTCTCCTTTTAGCCCACAATACTTTCCTAAGTGTTATTGCCTACACGTTGGGACTCTGGCAGAGGGAGTGACCTGTCCACGGTCACTCAACCAGTGAGCGGGTCTGGCCCCAAAGCCCACGGCCCTTCTCCGCTCCACTCGGGTTTCTGAGGATGTGCGCACAATTAATAGATGAAGAGAGGATGCTGAGGCTCCAAGGCGTGAGTACCCCCTCCACTGGAACGGAGGTGAAGGTCCAGGACCGTGTCTTCCCAAAGGCCTCACATAGTCACGGCAGGCTCCAGGAAGTGCCCCTGCCCTTCCGTCCACCTCTGTGCCCTCCAGGCCTGAGTTCACTCACCCACCATGGCTGCTGCTGATTGATTTCAGGTCACCCGTCTCCAGCCCCTTCCGGCCAGCCCGATACCAGCAGTGCAGAGAGCCATCCCTTGGAGCCAGGTGAGGAAGTGATCTTTCTGGGATCCCTGGTCAGCTTTCTGGAATGACAGGAAGGGGAAACAGACTTTGAGGGTACCAGGGAGACACCCGAACTTCAGACAACACTTCTTCCTGATCCAATGTTTGAAGGTCCACATTAGATTCACTTGGAGATCTTAGAACTGCCACCTTCGAGAGGCCACTAATAAAAAGTCACTGATACACGATAGGGTGTTCAGTGAGCATTTAAAGGGGATTTGTTGAGAATAAGCTAAAGAAGTCTTGGCGGGGTGGTGGGGGTCCACCAGATGGGGTCTAGGTTAATTCAACAGCTATTTTTAAAGGACCTACTCTGCAAAGCGATGTGCTAACACTGGGGTGCAATCCTGGGGGTTCCCTGGGGAGGTAAGGGAGAGCCGCCATAGAGAGAGGCAGCCTGTCTTCAAATCTATCACTAACCCCATGTCTGTCCATCCTGCAGGGTTGTGGGGGGTCACAGTGACACTCAGTGGTAGTCAGTGCCCTCAGAACAGTGGAGGGACCTGGGAGGGGAAGCATGGCACCCACAGTACCAGGGAGGGCCTCGGAAGTGGTAGTCAGTGCCCTCAGAACAGTGGAGGGACCAGGGAGGGCCTCGGTACCGGAAGTCTGCCTCTCTTTCACACAGGGTACTCTTGAGATGGGGGCAAGAGAGGAGGGTTTGTGGGGACTGGACCCCTGGTTCTCTGTAACCTCGAGTCGTCCTCAGCCCCAGCTTTTCCTGACTGTAAGGAGAACCAGAGGGTCAGGCCTCACAAGGGGGCTGGGGGATGAACCAGCCCAGCCCCACTTTGCAGACTGAAAGGCTGAGGCCCAGAGTCAGGTAGGGTATTGTCCAAGGTCACTAGCAGGTCATTGGTGGAGCCCCTGACAGCCACCCGCGCCCATCCCATCCCTAGCATCCGCCGAGTCCGAACCTGTCCAGGCCTCAGCTGCTGTCTGGTTCTTCCAGGGGAGCAGCTAGGGATCCGCCTGGTGAACGGGAGCAGCCTCTGCAACGGGACGGTGGAGGTTCGTCTTGGGCAGTCCTGGCAGCCCGTGTGTGAGGCGTTCTGGAACCTCCAAGCCGCCGAGGCCGTGTGTCGTGCGCTGGGCTGCGGCGGGGCGGCGGGGTCGCCGGTCCAGCCCCCGCCGACGCCAGAGCTGCCACGAAATTGGGCCTTGGGGAACGCCAGCGAAGCCCTGAACGTCACGCAGGCTCTGGCACCGGCTATCCTCTGCGGTGGCGCTGAGTGGCAGCTCTGTGAGGTGGTGGAGCACGCGTGCATCGGCAACCAGAGGCCAGCCCAGGTCACCTGTGCAGGTACAGCGGACCGCCCTGCGCCCATCACCGGGGCCCCTCCCTGTCCCCCGTCCCTGGCGGGCCTTCAATCACTGCCTCACTCCTGTCCACCCGCACCTACCACCGACGCAAACACAACTGGTCCCCACGGCAGAGGACTGCAACTTTGTACCATTTCCAACTCTGAACATTTCCACAGATCTGGCCTTCAGACCCTGCCCCCTACTAGATCTCCAGTTGGCCCACCTGATCCAGAACCCGACACCTCGGGTCCCCAATTCTAACAGAATCTCGAGGCCTTACTTACGAGCCCCTCTCCCCTCCCTCTCTGGACCTCTGTCTTCTCTGTCTCCGCTTCCCCCTCTCATGAGCATAAATATGCCAGGTTCCCAGGGTCCTTTGGTACTGATGCTCCTCAGCCCCCAGCCCTGCTCTTCAGGCCCCGCCCACCAGGCCTCTGGCCCCACCCACTAGTCTGCGCCGGGTTACTAACCCCTCCCACTGGCTCCGCAGCTCTGACTCTATGGTGTCCAGCTCCACTTCCCGAGTCCCTAGTCCTGACCAGTCCCTCTACCTCTGCTCACCAAGTCCCCAGCCCTGCAGGGGTCCCCTGTCCTACCCAGAGGATTACAGCCCCTCTCACAGGGTCCACAGCCCTGCCCACAACTCTCGCGCCCAGGGCCCAGTCCCTGACCCTCTCCCACCCTCTACCTTCCTCGCCCTCTTCTCCCCACCCACAAACCCCTACCCGTCCCCTCCCAGAGAACCGTGCACTGCGGCTGGCGGACGGTGGCAGCTCATGCGCCGGCCGCGTGGAGATGCTGGAGCACGGCCAGTGGGGTTCGGTGTGTGACGACACGTGGGATCTGGAGGACGCCCACGTGGTGTGCCGGCAACTGAGCTGCGGCTGGGCGATCCAGGCTCTGCCCGGCTTGCACTTTGCCCCTGGCCAAGGACTCATCCACCGAGACCAGGTGAACTGCTCTGGGGTGGAGGCCTACCTGTGGGACTGCCCTGGGCTACCCGGAGACCGCTACTGTGGCCACAAGGAGGACGCTGGTGTGGTATGTTCAGGTGAGTGAGCCACGTTCCTGAGCTTCGCCCTCCATCAACGCTTACTATAGAACTACTGGGCACCAGGCCTGGAGTTAGTGCTAGAGAGAGAGTCTCTGTCCTTGCATGGTCACTGTCCAGGAGGGGAGATGAGACTCAGACAAGCACCACCTCAGGGAACGAGTGGTAAATGCCCTAGGAAAGGAAGCCAGGTGAAGTTTAGGGGTAACAGGCAATCCAGGGCTGGAGGAATAAGCCTGCCCACCTCCTGGAGGAGATGGCATTAGAGGTGAGACTTCCTGAGTGGGAGTTGGTTCTCTGGTTCAGAGCAGCAAGGGGAGATGGAGGCAGGGAGGCCCTTGGGGAGGCCATCGATAGTCCAGCTGAGGCCATGAAATTCTGGTCCAGCCAGTGCTTCTTTATAAGGTGCAGGGGAATGGCGGGGGTTGGGGGGATCTTGTTAAATATAGATTCTGATTCAGTCGGTCTGCATTTCTAACAAGATTCCAGGTACCATCGGTGCTGCCGGTCCATGACCGCACTTCGTGTAGCAAGGATGTAGGGAACTGCAGCCACATCAGATGGGGCAGAGAGGGCGATGTGGATGTCAGGGAGAGCACACGAGATCTGGAGACCCGTTGGGCGTGAGGTGTCTGCCTTTGTGCATCTGGGCTAATGGGGCTTTGGGGCCAAAGGATCCAGACCTGACCCTGCGCCCCACCCCCTCCCACCCCACAGAGCACCAGTCCTTGCGCCTGACCGGGGGCAGTGACTCCTGTGAGGGGCAAGTGGAGGTGCATTTCCGTGGCGTCTGGAACACAGTGTGTGACAGTGAATGGTACACGTCGGAGGCCCAAGTGCTCTGTCGGGCCTTGGGCTGTGGGACCGTGGCCAGAATACCCAAGGGGCTGCCCCACTCCCTGTCGGGCAGGATGTACTACTCGTGCAAGGGAGAAGAGCCCACCCTCTCGGACTGTTCCTGGCGGTTCAACAACTCCAACCTCTGCAGCCAGTCCATGGCAGCCAGGGTCCTCTGCTCAGGTACCCCTCCTCCCACGCACCCACCCTCGCTCCCAGATGTGGACCGGGAATTCCACCCGGAATCCACAGCCTGAGAACTGGCAGCCCAAGCACCACCCCTTGGACTGGATCAGGAATGACGAATACTGGCACCAGAGGGACCGTCGCCCCAGCATGCCCAGGGCAGATGTGCTAGTTAATCAGGGCATCCTTTTTCCACAAATCCTTGGCTCAGCGCTACAACCCTGAATCAAATATTTATTAAAGCAGTGGCCTTTGCGGACCAGACTTGGCTCAGGAGATGAAACCAACTTGCCATCCCAGGGCTGACGATCTTAGTAAAAATAATATTAGGAGACACTAATAATAAGATCGGTGACAGTGTCTGGAGCCTTAATCATGTACTAGGTGTTGCCAAACCCTTAGTCTATCTTATGTTGGCTAAGCTTCACATCCGCTCTGTGAATTGGGTTCTACTGTATTTTTACAAATCTAAGACAACATTAATATGTCACACCATTATTATTTTATGTACCATAGCAGACAAAAACGCCACCAAAATAAACTCTTGATATGTCATCAATTGTAGTAATTGATGCCATCACCCTGATTTGTGAAGGTGTGAAAAAGAAAGAGGGTTTGACTTGAGGAAACTCGATATTAATGTCTCTGGAGTTCAGATACCTGGCTATGAAATCCAGCTCTGCCATATACCAGCCTGGAGGTGTCAGTTTCCAGTCGACGTGGACGCCGATACTCACGGGGTAGCTGGGATTTGTAAGCTCCATCCCTGACCTGTCACGTGCTTATGATAATGACAATAATGTCAGCTTCCCACCTGAAGAACAAACCCGACTGAATGGAAAAGGGATTTGTGGTCTGCAGCAGATTATGCAAAAGGGAGGGATAATTCCTTAATTAGCCTCTTGTTCTAACCAAAGGGTTTTCCCAGCATTTACTCCATGAGATTCTCCATGTTGTAGGAGGTGGGAAGGGTACGTTAGCCATGTGCCCCTCTGGGACCTAGCCCCCAGTTCTAGGTCATTTGTTTGTCATGTTCAGTCCCTGGCACACAGTAGGTGTAATATGGTAATATGTTTTGAATGAATGAGGCGGTACTTTCTGGCAGGTTCCCGGAGTCTGCTCAATCTGTCCACTCCTGAAGTTCCTGCAAGTGTTCAGCCAGCGGTCACAGTAGGTGAGTGTCACTGGGTACACAGTGTCTCAGAGCCTCGGGCACCTGCAGCCATTTGTATGTGTGTGTCCTCCCAGGAGGGGCCTGATGGTTTGTGTCCCTCGCCCGCCACCCCCTCCCGCTCCCCGCCCCCAGACACTGGTCTCGCCTTCACAGAGGAAGAGCCTCAGGCTCAGAGGGTGAACTGATGGGCAGAGTTGGCTGGAATTAGTATCCAAAGTCCTGCTCTCCAGATCCATGCTCGGTCTACCTGCCAGCTGGGTGTAGCTTGGCTGGCTTCGGGGCAGGCTCCTGGGGCTCAGATCCCAGCTGTGCCCCTTGCCAGCTGTGCAACGTTGGGCACCTCTTAACTTTTCTGAGCCTCAGATCCCTTGACTATAAAACGAGGACAATAATCACAGCACCTCTCCCAGCACTGTTGTGAGTCTCCAGTGAATTAATTTTTATAAAGCGCTTAGAACAGGGGCTTACTGGGTACACAGTGAGCGCTGTCTGGGCGTCGGTTATTCTCGTGATTGTTCAGTCCAGGCATGGAGTCCCTGCCATGCTCACTACTAAGGATAGCTCAGAGTCACCTTCTCTGGGAAGCCATCCTTGGTCTCCCCCCGTAGAGAATTAAGCGACCTCAGCAGGGCCTCGTGCCTGCCCCTCCAGGTCCCTGTCCACACCCGCATCACAGCGGGCACCTCACATAGTGGACTGAATAGACTCGTTGATCTTCTTACTAGACAGAGACCCTCAAGGCCTGTGGCTCCGTTGTCATATTGATATCCCCAGTACTTCGTGCCTGGGACACAGTGGGAACTCAATAATTGCTGAGCAGAGAGAGATCCTTGTGGGCTGGTGACAAGGAGAACGTTTCACTCAGTCAGTTAGTCACTCGATATACATTTCTTGAGCACCTACTGTATACCAGGCGCCTAAAAGCAAGTTGGAAATTTTTTTTAAAGGGAAGTGGAGGGTAGGTCCAAAGGGAAGAGGATCAGCTGCCGACAGGATGGAGAGACAGGAAGGACAAGGAGAAGCCTATGTCCACTTCTCTTTCTCCCTGATCTGGGGTTCTTGCTTTCAGAACCTTCCGTGAAAACGGAGGACCAGGAATCTCGGGAGCTAATACTCCTCATCCTCTGCATCGTCCTGGGAGTCCTCCTCCTCGGCTCGCTCATCGTCATCACCGTCATCCTCTTGAAAGGGAAAGGGAAATATGGTAGGTGCAGAAATCTGGAAGCCACAGGGAAGGCCCAGGGATGGGACGGTGCAGCTCACGCCCTCCCAGGGGGACGTGAGCCTTGGGGACCCCCAGCTGAGGTGGCAGGGACACAGCAATGGCCACCCAGCCCTGGCCCCGGGAGCACCCTCTCATGGGAAGAGTTTTCCCAGCATGCTGCACAGTAGTGGACCGATGTGGGCCCCACGGGAGGACCAGACTCTGTGTGTGTGTGTGTGTGTGTTTGGGGGTGGTGGTGAGGAGGGTGGTGAGAACAGAACCAGGGAGACCGGAAGCGGCAAAAAAAAATGACTCGTAGAATCCGCCTGCCTTCCCTCAGCCCTCCCTGCTCCGGTGAACCACCAGCTCCTACCCACCACCACCCCAGCAGGGATCAATAGCTACCAAGAGGTCCCCATCACCATCCCTAAAGAAGAAGGTAGGATGTCACCCCCCTGGGGGTGGGGAAGGCTGGAGAGGACAGGAAGGGTCAGTACTGCTTAAGTCGAAGCAACGCCCCAGCCGGAGATGGGACCCGGGTCAGCCCACGCACAGCTGCGGGACTTTGAGCACGTCGAGTCTCCCGCCTGGGCCTTGATGGGCAGATGACTTTCCAGCGCAGTCATTCCAGGATTCTAGGCTTGAGAGTTCTGGACCGATACAAGCCCAGGGCATTTTAGACATTGTTCTCATTGGAAATCTCTGCTCTGCTGATGGGCTAGGAGGTTGTGATATCATCGCCTGCTCAATCAGCCTGCCTGTAAGCCCCTGAGAAATCAATATGTCTCTGGAATGCTCTGCTGATGGGCTAGGAGGTTGTGATATCATCACCTGCTCAATCAGCCCCTGAGAAATCAATATGTCTCTGGAGCATAATTTTATTTCATGTTTTCTGAATGAAAAGAATTGGACCAGTCACTCATATTTTATGACACGGATTTATACCACTTAAAAGTCTTGTAAAGGAGTTAGAGTTTAATCACATTGCATTATGAATATATTAAATCGCCTTTATTTGAACGCATTCCAATGACAGGAAAACCAACACAAAACTCAGCCAAATATTACCGATCTTCTCTGCATACAGTATGTGCATATTTTTGAGAAGAGACTGTGAATAGAGAACTTAGAACAAGGCTGGGCACAGAGCAGCTGCTCACTACATTTTATGGTCTAGAGGTTAAGAACCACACTGCCTACTTCTCCGGCAAGGTGAGAACCTCTGTGCCTCAGTTTCCTCAGCTCTAAAACGGGACCACTCATGTACCTACCCCACAAAGCTGTTATGAGAATTAAGTGAGATAATATTCATAAATGTTAGAATAGCGCCTGGCATGGAGTGACTGCTCTGGAAGTGTTGGTTTGTTGCATAAATAAATGTTATTTAGTTCTTCATGTGTGGAATGAGAGGGAAGAGCTCGGGACACGCAGGCTGGACGGTCTGGCATGCGACGGGCTGCCCGGCACTCTCCCTGCCTCTCTCGTCCCCCGCCACCCACGTTCTCTGCCACCCACCTCTCCCTGTGCCTTTCCACCCATCGCTTTGCCACGCCCCCCACTCTGTTCTCTCCACAGTTCCCAAGATGCCCATCCAGGTCCAGGCCCCAGCCCCCGACGACTCAGACTCAGACTCAGACTATGAGCACTATGACTTCAGCGCCCAGCCTCCCGTGGCCCTGACCACCTTCTACAGTGAGTGCCTGGGCCCACGTGCCCGAAGGGCCTCCCACCCCGACCAGGGAGAGGGCCCCACTGGCTGGGGACCTTCAGTAGGTTCGACCTGACGAGCCCCACAGCACTAGGCTGGAAGCGCCCCCGTTACTCACTGGTTTGGCTGTCAATGGTCCCACACCGAAGTTTTCAAAGCGCTTTGTGATCCTGGGGGCGTCTGCACGTCTTGAGGCATCTCCCTTCCGATTGCCTCCTCTCCCACATGTGCCTCTGCACGTGCAGGGTCTTAAGACCTGTCCCTCGACATTCACCCAAAGGTAGCTGCGTCTGCATAGGATGCAAGGGAGTCCAGGTGAGAGGCACAGGTCAGATGGCTTCTCACACGCTCACACTCCTTTTGCATGTCTCATCCTCCCCATCTCGCCGCCCCCCTCCCCCCGCCCCACGCATTCACCCACCTCCACCTCTGGCCCTGCTTCTCTAGCTCTTCTCTCTGCCTTCTGGAGTAGCAGGAGGAAAGACAGAGCTTAAGGCAGGGCCCGTGCAAAGCTGGGAGGTGGGAAGAGAGCAAGAATCTCATACCTATGGTGGAATCTCTTGGGAGCTTGTCACAAATTCCCGAGCCCCGCCCTGCACCTACTACCTCAGTTAGAAGGAGAGTTTGGCTGGGTGTGATAGAGACCACCAAATGACAATGTCTGAGAAGTTGGCGGGGGCCCAGGCTCTTTCTTGCTTGCTACTCTGCAGTCCTTAAGATGTCAGCCTTGTCCATGTGGCCCGGAGCGGCTCATCGTGTTCACATTCTAGCCAGTGGAAAGGGGGAATACGCAGATGGGACACTCTACTCTCAGGGCAGGACGCCCATATGGCTTCCACTCACATTCCACCAGCTGCAAGAGAGGCAGGGAGATGAAGCCTCTGTCCTGGTCAGCTGTGTGTCCAGATAAAGGCCAGAGGCTGTCCTGCTACTACAGGAGGGGACAATGAATATTGGGACGGCCAGCCATCTCTGCCCCACCTGCCGAATCAGGGCCTCTAGGGGTGGGATGTGGATGATTCCACCTTTGCCGGTCCCTGCACCAGAGTTTGGGTGCCCCCGGGATGAGGTGTCCTTAGAACTCGAGATCCTGAGCCCCGAAATGTAAAATTTAAGACTGAGAACCCCAAATCTTGGGACACTGAGACTAAAAATCAGTGGTTCCAGGTTCAAAAAAGCCGATTCCAAGATTCCAGACACTGGAGTCCTTAAGACCCCATGAATCTGCAGCAACCTGATTCTTCTGTGACACAAAGGTGCCGCGGAAGCTGTGACGCCCAGACTCCAGACCCTTCGGCTTCCGCTCTGGGAGGGCTCCTCGAAGCGGCAGTGTCTGCCTTTCTCCTCCCTGTCCGGTCTGCCCAAGCGCGAGGGTATCTCCTTAAGTAGCGGGAAGGGCAGCCGGGGCCATGGGTCGCAGGGTACTAGGGTTTCTGGCTGGAAGCAGCCCGTCCCTTGCTGGTTTCAGAGATTTGGGGTCTTCCTGGACTAGGATGTGAGCCTGGGATCCGATGGTGAAGGCTACGCGCCTCCGCACTCCCGGGGTTGTCCTCCCAACCTGTTCAGCCTTAGTGGCCCCCTCCCGAGTCCTGAGGAGCACCAGCCCCTTCTCCAGACTCTCAGGACAAGGGAACCTTCGCCCCTCCCCATCACCACCTCTGCTTGTAGATTCCCAGCGGCACCGAGTGACCGAGGAGGAGGTCCGGCAAAACAGGTTCCAGATGCCCCCCTTGGAGGAAGGTGAGTCAGGCCGGGGTGGGACGTGGAGGGGGTCATGTCAGCTGCGCCTCCAGACTTAGGAGCTCAGCTCCCCTTGAGAAGCTCCAGCAGCGACCTCCCCCAACACGTCCTTCCCGACTAATAATTTTTATTGGCAATAAGTTCTTTCTCAAGTCTAATTTAAAGCCTGTTGGCTGCATACCTTCTGTCCTCACCCTTCTCCTTTTCCTGGCCCCCGACTTGAAGAAGACCATGCCTCCCAGGCCCCACCTGTCAACCCGGGACACCGCATTGCAGATCCCCTCTCCCGGAGTCCTCAGCAGCACCCACGGAGCGACAGCGAGTCTAGCACATCGTCTGGGGAGGACTACTGCAATAGTCCCAGCAGAAAGCTACCTCCATGGAACCCTCAGGGCTTTTCTTCAGAGAGGACCCCCTTCCTGGAGCCCCCGAACTTGGAGCTGGCTGGCTCCCAAGCAACCTTTTCAGGTAAGCCGAGCCTGTGAGGATTCTGTGTGTGCCCCATCCTCCCATCCTTCTGACCTGGCAAGAGGAAGCATGAAGCTGAGAGCCATGAACCAGGCTGAGCTCAGGATTCTGGTCCCAGCTCTGCAGTCACTTGCTGTGTGACCTTGGACAAGTCTCTTCCCCTCTCTGGGCCTATATTTCCTCATTCGTTGAGCTAAGGACTTGACTCTGGAGTTGTGAGAGCCTCCCAGCTCTGGCAGTTTGTGAACTGACTGTCTCCAGGCAGAGGGTGACTGGCTCTGGGGGTTTCCAGCAGGGCCCTCAGCTGACGACAGCTCCAGCACCTCATCCGGGGAGTGGTACCAGAACTACAAGCCGCCGCCCCAGCCCCCTCCCATGGAGCAGTTTGGGTGTCCAGGTGCCAGTGGTGGGGGATGGGGTCCTGGGAGGGGGGACAGAGAGAGACTGGGGAGTAGACGAGTGGGGGGAGCTTTGGGTCTGTTGGATCCAAAGAGAAAAGAAGAGAGGTAAAGGGATATATTTTAAAAGCAGGAATATGAGGAGGTGGGAAAAATGGAGGTGGATGGGACAGAGAAAGAGTCAGAGAGAATGCCTGGAGAGGAAGTAAGCTCCCCATCAGTGGAGGCATTCAAGCAGAAGCAGTCAGATGGCCCCTTGGGGGAGACCGTGGTAGCGAAGGGGCACCCGGCATCAATTGTCCATCAGCTGTTGTGCCAGTGTAGGATCTATAGCCCTGAACTAGCAGATAAGGCTCTGCCTTCTGGGCTGACATTCTAGCAAGGGAGATGGCAGTGAGCAAGATGATGTGATGGGAGTCTTGTCACTCCGTGCCCCACAGCATCATGGGACAGGTGGGTGTGGACTCAGACCTGCTCAGCTCTGTCCCATGGGGCAGCCGGGGCAACGAGTGGGCATCCTGCTGACCTGAGCCTCCCGGACACACAGGATCCCCCAGTCCCCAGCCTGATTCCACTGACAACGATGACTACGATGACATCGGAGCAGCCTAGACATTCTCGGCAAGGCTCCAGGTGGCTCCTTCCACTAGACTCCTGCTCTACCTGCTGCCCCGTCCCACCCTGTCCTTCCGGATCGTCCCCGAGGGGGCTGGGAGACCTCCCCTGGAGAGATGAAAGGAAGCTCCACATCCTGTACCACTGGATCTCCACCCATCGAACAGAACCTGCTGGCCTGGCCTTCCCTCAGCCCCAAACGGCAGCAAGGCGCTGCCTGAGATGCAGTGAGCTCACTGTCTCAGGGTTGAACAAGCAGTCGGGGCCACCTCTCGGCAGGCTGCATGGAGGGGTTGACCTGGGTGACTCCTGAGGCCTCTTCTGACCCTTGGGTGCCTGGTGCTTTGATTCCCTGAGTCTCCGGCAACTCAGGGTCCAGAGGTACTGAGAGGGGCAGAAGCCGGCCCCATCCCAGTCCTGCCCAGGGAGGCCCCGTGCGCAGGGCCTGTTGGGTTGCTGTAGCTCTGACAGGCGGATGCTGGGGCTGGGTGGCACAGTGGCAAACTCGGGCTTCACTCGGGGCAGGGAGCCCAGCCTTCCAGCTGACAGTGAGCAGGACGGCCCTTCCCCACGACCCAGGGGCTGGGGCCTGAGGCCAGTCCTGCCTTTAGAGACCTCAGGAGCCCACCCGGGGCACAGCCCTGGTCTGCAGTGACTGTCCCTGGAGAACGGATCCTCATTCTGAGCTTCCTGTGGTTTACAGAGATGGTCCCAGCTGAGCTCAGCCCCCCAACAGACCCAGAGTCGGGGCCCAGTCCTTGAGGGGGCAGAAGTGCAGAGTTGTCTGCCAGGAGGGGCCCAGCATCTGCACTAAGCCCTGAGTCCCCATCTGTCTGATTAGATTGATGGGAGCCTCCTGGATGAGTCACACCCAGAGCCACGAACTTGACCCAGCATCCTCCAGAGAGAGGCTGGGGGACTCAGGGCCGACTCCTGGCGTCCCATTCTGAGAATCCTGAGATTAAACTAATTGCTGAATGAAACTGGGGCGTGGAGTGATTAAGTCCTTGAACTCTTACAGAATCCAGGTCGTGCATGTGTGTGTGTGCGTGCGTGCATGTGTGTGCATGTATGTGCATGTGTGTGCGTGCGTGCATGTGTGTGTGCATGTGTGTATGTGTGTGTGCATGTGTGTATGTGTGTGTGTGCGTGCATGCGTGCATGTGTGTGCATGGGTGTGCTGGGTGACGCAGCTCTATCTTTGAGGCAAACTGGAAAACCTACTGTGACCTGGTGCCATAAAAAATGCTGGGGCTAGCATGCATGTGTGTGCATGTGTGTGCATGTGTGTGCTGGGTGGTGCAGCTCTATCTCTGAGGCAAACTGGAAAACCTACTGTGGCCCGGTGCCATTAAAAATGCTGGGGCTACAGGGACAAGAAGATGCAGGGCCTGTCCCCCTGGAGGAGGTGGACTCCATGACAGATGCCTGTGGCCGGTGAGCGGGGCAGCCACTCCACCCCCTGGAGGTGCATTGCTGGGTCGCTGCACCGAGTGAGTTCCAGCCTGGGCCTCCAAAGGCTTCGGAGGCAGGGCAACCGGAGGGGGCTTATGGTCAGGGCTGCCTGGCAAAGGAATTGATCCCAGGCCCTGAGAGGAGTTGGAGACGAGGCTGGTGGACATGGAGGGGGCTGTGGAGACGACTCATACAGGAATCCTCCACCTGCTGAGAAACTGGGATCTTCGCCCAGCTGCAGTGGCCGATGCCCAGCTCTGCCTTGGGGTGAAGGCGGGGGTCAGGTGTCCTCTGACGTTTTCCAGAGCAGGGGTGGCGGAGGAGGCTGGGCTGCGGATCCTGCCCTGTGGGGCTGAGCGGGGCTGAGCGGGGCTGAGCGGGGCCTGCTTTTTGTTCACCTGTCCCAGACGTGGAGAGAATGCTGGCACTCCCCAGGGCCACCGTCACAGGATGTGGTTGTCCTTGTGATGGGGCCCCCTCCCCAGGCCGAGGGGGATTCCTAGGGGAGGAGCCAGGGCGGGAGTGGGTGGGGACAGACGCCCTGGCAGTTTGCGAAAGCCTTTTTTGTCTGAAGGCCTGGGTTCAAATCCCAGCTCCACCCTGTCCTGGCCGTGTGGCCTCAGGCAAGCCACTCAAGATCTCTGAGCCTTAGCTGTAAAGTTTGTAAAGTGTGCACAGGCATCACGTAAGTGGTGGCACAGGTTAGAGTCTTGGTGACAAATGTCCCTTCTCATTAGCTTAATCAACAGAGGTGAGAAATCTTAAAAGGAGACAAGGGAGGAAAAGAGAAGGCAGCCATTGGAGGGTCTTAGGCACCGGTGCCTGGGGAGGCATGGGGAGCATCGGCTCACTCCCGTTTTATAAACGAGGACACTGAGGCCCGACAGGGGAAAGGACTTGTCCAAGGTCACTCAGAGAGTTAAGAGCCAAGTCACAATTCATCCCTTCCCCAACCCCGACTCTCAGGAATTGGTGACACCCTCTTTTCTATCATTTCTCACCAGAGCCCCTCCCCCATCCTTGGTTCCTCCCTATCTACACACACATGCACACACGCACACACACACGCACGCACACACACATACACACACACACGCACGCACGCACACACACACATACACACACACACGCACACACACGCACACACGCGCGCACGCACGCACGCACGCACCAGTCCCAGAGAAACTGGGCAACTCCAATTCATGTCTCCCTTGCCCCCTCCCAGCTCCTGGACAACCTGGGAGCACCAGGGTCACACGTGGCAGGGGACTTTCTGAGGGCTGGTGTCCAGAACCTGCCTGAGTCAGCCTCCTGGGTTGGGTGACAGGGGCTGCTCACAGGGAGGGCCCTTCCCCATGCCTTGTGTCTATGCCTCCTGGGGACTCAGACCGTGGGACCACCGGAGAGAAGTCACACACGACACAGCAAGTGTACTCTCAGGAGACCACGAGTTATCATAAGCCGCAAGGGTCTGGAAGAGGAAACATCGCAATGTTGAGTGGAGGTGGCACCTGAGTCCTGCCCCCAGGGATGTCCACGTGGGCAGGGGCTGTATCCAAGCATAGTGACAGGCGATGCACAGGGAACGTGGGGGGCCCAGGAGAACCCCTGACCCGGCTGGAGGGAGGCCAACTGGGAAGGCTTCCCCGGCAGGCGACGCCTGAGCGGGCCGGAAAGCGTGAGGAGGACTGAGGCGTGGGCACGGAGAGGGACGGGCAGTCCTAGTCGACGGAACGGCGAGAGCGAAGACAGAGCGAGAAAGCTAGAGGCTCGCGAGGCCGAAGATGGTCCAGCCTGAGAGAAGAGGCTGAGGGCAGTCGATTCTCACACCAACTATTTCTTAGGTGAGAGGAACGGAGGCCCAGAGAAGTTAAGTAAAATGCCCAAGTCACACAGCAAGAGAGCACCATCCCTGCTCTGGGCACACTGCAGGTGCGGGGTCGCGAGCGCCCAAACAGCCGCGGGAGGTGTTCGTATCATCCGCACGTCGGGGACGAGGGAAACGGGCTCGGGACGGTTCGTTGTTTTCCCCAGGGCCACCAGTTTGCCAGGCCCCGGTTGCCAGTCTACGTGGCCTCCCGAGGTGGCAAGGTCCACGCTAAAGGTTCACTTCCATGCTTACTGAGCCGACCGCCCAGGGGGACGGTCATCGACACATCAGCCCCACGGTTCATCGGCCTCCTCCAGATATCTGGGAGCCAAGGGAGGAGGCCAGGAGGACCTGAGCAGGGCCATCCCACGGGGGGCCTCGGCTCCTGCCTGCTCCCTGGGCTGCTTGGATAAGGCTCTAATGCCGCTCCCAGGAGCTCAGGTTCAAGGTTCCATGCCCCGGCCGAGCATCGCCTGCTGGTACCTGACCTTTTCCACTGGAAACCTCATCTTTGAGGCACATCTGCCAAGCCACCACTGAGCTCCCCATCCCTCCCTATCGCCCCATCTGTGGTTTCCACTTCCGTCCCTCCCTGAGACCCTTCCGATGGTTCTGGAGATGGGCAGAGGTGCCTGGAGCCCCGCCTGGCCGCTCAGCGTGGACCCGTCTCGGCCGTGGTCCCAGGTCTCCTGTCCTGGCTTCGTGAAGATGGGATGGAGCCTCCAAAGCGCGGAGGGGCAGGGGACACCCGTCAAGGAAGGATGAGTTCAAAGTCGCATCAGTGGAAAGTTCATCTCCCACCACATCCTTCAGCTGTTTACCAGTTTGACGGGGTTCTGGCATCCTGACATGAGAAGAGGCTCACCCCTCACCACCACCATCAAGGAAGGACCGAAATAGCAACAGAGGAAGAAAGACAAAGACGAGAGAGACAAAGGGAGAAGAGAAAGAGCGATGACAGGAAAAGAAGGGCGGGGCCACGCGCTCTCCGAGCAGACAGGGCAAGAGACAGCAGGCCCCAGGACGCCACCCTCATCAGTCCCTTCCCCGGAGCCCGTCCCGGTCCTGAATCCCTTACATGTGCGGCTCACTTAACCTCCAAACCCTCTCAGGGCAATCGGGTGTTCTAACCTCCGTAGTCTTCCAGGGAAGAAAAGGAAAGGCTCGAGAAGTCATAGAACTAGTTCAGGGTCACTCAGCTAGGACCCTGGAAGCCAGACTCAAAGCAGGGCTTTGCAGGGCATGCAAGAAGGAGGGAAGGAAGGAGATGGAAAGGTAGATGGCTAAGGAGTCAGAGGGGACGGCGGCGGAGGGAGGACAATAACACATCCTTTCTTGGGGAAAGATTGTTCCCCCCGCTCCAAGAGGACCCCCAGCCCCATCCTGGCTCCTTTTCCCCAGGCCCCCAACACCCCAGCTCCCCCAAGTGCAGAAGGAGGAGAGGAAGTCACCCCCAGGGCCATGGGCTCTGCCCAGATTCATTTTCCTCCTGAGCGACACCCTTTGCAGGGGGGTCTCCTGCCTTCACCGCCACCACTGAGCGGGGGCCGAGGCCCACACCTGCCTTCCCCGCCACTCTCTCACACAGCGGGGCGGGAGAAAGATCCACATCCATGCGCACTGTCTCCACGGCTCCCAGGACACACCCCGCTCTCCCTCCAGAAGATACCACCATTCAGCAAATGGGGGCTTCTGCTTCCCTCCCACTCTCCACTCTGGGAGCAGCCAACACCCTCCCCCCGCGACACACACACACCGCAACCCCACCCCGGGGCCTCGCTCAGCCTGGCGTGTGGAGGCTGCTGTCCTCTGAGGATGAGATGCTCCAATAGCTGGGGTCAGTAACCACCCGACTCTTCTGCATGCCAAGACACAGGGACACCTTCTCTCACGTCGCCATGATGGTCACCCTCTTCTTCCCCAAACCTGTGGCCCTTCTATGGCAGGGCCCGGACTTCCTGCAGTTTGCTCCATTTCCTGCTCTCGCCCTCATTCCTCCCACTTTCTTGGGAACCAGAAGAGTGGGTGCGTGTACCTTGCGAACAGCGAGAGTGAGCCCACATTAAAGGCACAGGACAGCCCGAGACCTGGGGCCGTCCCTTGTAGGGCCATCCCGGCTCATGCCCACTCACCCTGCCTGTGCAAAGGCCCCTGTGGGCTATAGGGTCAGGCAAGGCCGTCCTAGCCTTCTGTCCCCAGGCTACCTACCTGGGGGTATTGTAGGGCCAGAGGTGGCCAGGTCATCCTGCACCTCCGGCTGCGGGGAGCCCCCCAGAGTGTGGTCATAGCACTGACTGTGGAGCCCAGCCCAGTAAAGCTCCCGAGATCCCTTCTCTCCCTCTGGTTCCAAGAAACTCACCTCTCCATACTCCAGGCTTCCTGCCGCTTTCTTCTCCATTCCGTTCGTTTGATGACCCACACGGTTGGGATTTGCATGCACCATGAACCCACACAAAAGCATGCCTTCCTCCCAGCCACTCACCAGCACCCAGGAGAGAGCACCCGACTCCCTTCCCCCGAGGGTGAGCCCCCACCAGCCTGGCCCCTGTCCTGGAACAGCCTTTGTCCCACTGCTCAGCCACATTCCTTGACCCAGAGCCTGGCCTTCTCCATGGAATGAGGACTCAGGGGCCAGAACAAA